ATAATGTATATACTAAAATAAACTACTACACTTACTACTTGTACTATTATTCCTACTTTACGGTTTCTCACTTATCGCTGGTCTTCAGGATACGGATCCCCAGTTGTAAACGAGGGACTACTGTACAACACTTTTCCATCTTATCAAGACACTCAAATTTCTTTACACTACAATCTGTGCTTCATTTACCCATTCATACAACTCTCTACTGGATCTATACAAAGCTTAATCAGAGCTTTAGCACATTCATACACTGATGTGACACACATAAGAGGCAACGAGGGGTTCAGTGTCTTGCCCAGGGACACTTCGGCATGTGGCTGCTGATAGATTCAAACCCCCAACTCTTACTTTGGAAGTCAACTGCTCTAACCACTCAGCCACAGTTGCCCATATGAACGAATAATGAATCTATACGATATATGAATTTCTCGTTCTGAAATTATTGACTAAAAAATACAACTTTTTGAAAAATATTTAAAAAATGTAGATACACCTGTACATATATTTAGTTGTTTTCTTTTTGCTTAATTTGCTAATTTTCTATAAAAAAAATATTTTTCTTGTCTTTGTTATGTTGTTGCTGTGACTTGTGATTATTTTATTTTTTTTGTGCTTGGGATTAACAAAGTAGTATTTTATCTTGTTTTCTTGTTTGCAGGAGTTTGTCGGGGCTACGGACCCTAAGAGCTCGCGCTTGCTAATGGCAAAACAGGCAGATTGGGCCAAAAGCAGCAAGGAGCCACGAGCAGCAGCTGAGATGTACCTGTCAGCAGGAGAACACATGAAAGCTATAGACATCATTGGAGAGCATGGCTGGGCAGACTTGTAAGAGTTTCAAGTATTCTTGATCAGTCTTAGACTCTCTGAAATATTGTTTTTCCTATTTGACTTTTTAAAACTGCTTGTTGAAATTTGTGATTTATAAAGAGGTGCTGTTGGACCAAAGAGCTTTTGAATTTTCCTGTAAATAAAACCAGTTGAACCATCTGAAAATACTTCCATTCAAAGCTTTTATTTTGTTTCATTCATATTGTTTGAATGCTAAAGTGAATTAACAGCTGACTTACAGTTGGTAAAGAAAGCTTTAATCATGTGGAGTTCCTGCATGTGGGATCAATAAATCCTCCACTTCACTGGTGGTCCATTTTTCTGTGTAATATATCATTGTGTAGAGTTACCATTAAAGTTCTGGTTGTTTTCACAGGCAACAGTTTACCCGTGTTTTAACAGGGACATTGTAATAGTTTCTGCTAATGCTGCTGGTTTCTGTTGTGTAAAAGCACCTCAGCTCCTGCGTGGATCTTTCTGTTGTTTTTTAGTGTCTAGAATTGAGCATCTAAGGAGCCATGAAAAGTCCACGATGCCAGTGAAAAGTTTATACACAACTTGTTCAAAATTAATCAGCAAGTGTTTAAACTTTTGACTGAACCTGCAGTTTCAGTTTCCACAGATTGCTGCTTGCCTAAGCTGTTATGTTGCAAGACACAGACAGGAGGCAGAAACACCAACAGAATTATGTTTTCATTACTGTACACTTTTGTTTTTGAGAAAAAAGCCAAATTTTCCAAATAGCATTTAGGACATGCAATCAATCAATCAATCAACTTTATTTCTATAGCACGTTTTAAAAACCGCTGGGGTAGCCAAAGTGCTGTACAATAAGACAAAAATAGATTAAGACAATAAGAAAAGAAACATATGAAACATACACATACCAGGTTCACAGCAGGTGTGTTGTAAGGTGCCATAAAAGACAAGATCACTGTGTTAAAAGCCAAAAAATAAAAGTGTGTTTTTAAAAGAGATTTAAAAACAGGAAGAGAGTAGACCTGTCTGACACTCAAGCCAAGACACGTATTGTCTTAGTGTTTGTCTAGTCTTGATTGGTTAACTGACAATCCTTAGCAGACATCTGTGTAGAATAGACATACGTAGGTAGCACAAGGCAGCAAAAGTAAATATCCAGATCATGTTTCTGACATTTGAACCACAATACATATCTGAAATATCAAGGGAAGAATATGACCAATGAGACCTGTGAACAATTATCATTCTGTTCAGTTTCACATATTTGTGTGTTGTTAAAAGCTAGACAAATAGATATCTGTTTCATGAACCCCTGCTGACTCCATCCGGTCCACTGTGCTTGTAGTAAGCCTTCTGTGGTGCTGCAGGTGGATCAGTCCAGCACACGCAAGCTCTTGAACCTGAATCAGATTTAGCCTGTGACCTCAACTGATTCACATTTTGTCTGGGGTCATGAGCACAGCTCAGTACAGCAGACACCAAAATGATGGTTAATCTGCCGTCACCCTATCTGTGTACTTATTCTTCTTTTCTCATGAAGGCTGATCGACATCGCCCGTAAGCTAGACAAGGCAGAGCGCGAACCGCTGGCGAAGTGTGCATACCACTTCAAGAGACTGAAACACCATGGCTACGCCTCAGAGACTTATTCCAAGATGGGAGACCTGAAGGCTTTGGTGGAGCTGCATGTGGAAACCCAACACTGGGAAGAGGTTTGATGCTTAAAATCACACCTTCTCAAACTATACACAAAGAAAGTTCAGAGGCTGTCAAATAACTTTATTATGAATTATGTGCAACTTCTTGTGATAAATTGCTGAGGCACGCTAAATCATGAACAAACTCCCACATTTAATAGTTGTCTCTTTCATTGAAATGAACAAAAAAACATGTTTGAGTTGAGTTGACAGTCACATCAGGGTCACCAGCCCTGTGATGGACTTACTACCTGTCCAGGGTGTACCCCGCTTTTTGCACAATGATGGCTGGATATGAGCATTAGTGATGCCCGTGACCCAAAAAGATGGATACCTGCAGCTGAATGCAAACATTAAGACAATATGTTGCCTCATTTTCTCGTTTACTGACAAACAAAATCACACACACTCCACAGCTAATCATCAAGCATCCCATGCCTGCATTGTGAAGATGATGATGATAAAGTAAGAATCAAATCATCGTACTTGCACTGAAAATGTATCAGCTTGAAACTATATTCTGCTTCCAATCATCAGGGTGGATCACGTTGCTCAGATACTAAGAAAGTACTGCATTTATTTAATCCATCTGCGATTTATAATCGAGTTAAAAGCGCTGTAGATATTTGCCTCGGTGATTTGCATGTGGAAACACCAGAGCCAAAAACAGAACATCAGATCTTGATGACATGCTTCTTGGAATGTTTATTTAATCCTCCGAGAGGAAGAATGAGGAGAGGAGGCAGAGGTTTAGAGAACTGTTGGGTTTTATGTGCATCACTCGGGGAGGTGGACACCAAAACAGGCCACTCTGCTGCACAGATCTTATGGATGTTATTCACTAATCCCACTCTTCTTCAAAACTTTGATCAAATGACTTTAGACTCACAGGCCTGAGAAACACCTTCCCCTCCAGACTGTATAGTAAATGAAATGCGTGTGTTTCTTGGCTCAGGTTTTGCCACAGGACAGGGAGCTTAATTAGTCACCATGTCAGGAAACTGTGTGCACAAGGCGCTGCAGCAGCTTGTCATTCAAACAACGCCACACTTGTAGTCGTAATTGAGTGTGAAATCAGCTCGGCTCATACACTCCTTTTTTGTTTCCATCTAATTAATAATGTTATGGAAATATTTTGACTTGGGGTAACGTGTGTTTTCATGAAAAATGTGTGGTAACTTATATCTGCCTAATCAACTGCAGGTGAGCCTTAAGCGCTTGAGGAATTCCAGCGCTGTTCTCCATTTATTACTTGTCAACTAGACATCTATGCTGCAGTACATCTGATGGGTTCTCTGTCCTCACTTCTGTTTTTCAGGCCTTCTCGCTGGTGGAAAAGCACCCTCAGTTCAAAAGTGACGTCTTTGTGCCTTACGCCCAGTGGCTGGCTGAAAACGATCGCTTTGAGGAGGCGCAGAAAGGTCAGAGCTTCACCTTTACCTTTAGTCAGTCAACTTGTTACAACTCTTTAAAATGTGAACCTGCAGTATTTCCTTAGAGAACATGTAGTTTACTTATAGAGTCAGAGATGAAGTCAGGTCTGTTCTGGACACAACCTTTTTTTCTTTCATTAGTTTCTTAAGATGTTCCATAACCACTGTAAAACCTGATTCTGTTGGCTGGAGCAGGACAGAGCTGTGCAGCATGCTCACTGAATGACATGCATGCTTGCTTCTAATCACCAGTGCTACAAGCAGCTCTGATGATGATTACCAACTGTAACCATAGTTATAATCAGCTCATAGATTTATAATTATAATCCCAGCATGCATATTTCCTCCTCTACATAATCTTCTTCTGCTTGTCTCAATGCGGATTTTGTGACTGAACAGGTCTGATTGTATTTAGATTGGCTTATAGTCATACATTTTGTTGATTGTGTGCATTTGCGACAGGCAACAATGAAGTATTGTAATCCAGGTGATTGTAAATCTTACATTCTGGTCTGTTTCATCTCTACAGGGAGACGAAACACCGGTAGTTCTAAAGGTCGTCATTGCTGAAAAGTGTTGAAGTGTTTTGTTTATTGTTTTGGGACTTTAAGGGATCGTTTAAATCTTTTGAGTGAGGTTCTGTGGAAAGGTAATGCATAGTTAATATCTTACCTGTTGTAGATAGCGCTTTCAACAACCTCAGTTTAGAGAAATATAATTTAATTCTGATCAAACTGATAAGCTAAGGGCTAGTCAGAGAGGACCAAGACTTAAGCAGATTGCATCTCCAGTTTCAGAAAAGTATTAGCAGTTCATATAAGCATATTTTAATGAACCCTTACAGGCCCACACATTAGCATTAAGATTACAATAATCCATGTTGGTCTTTGCTCTGCTCAGTCTAGTTCATCAGCTGGGTCTAAATAAAACTTTATTTGTTTAAACTAAGACTGTCCAAAGAGCTATCTACATCAGGTTTCCACTGAACCCTTCTTTAAACGAGCTGAACTATCCCTTCAAGATGGAGAGCAGTCAGTCTCCAAAATAAGGTGCTGGAAAATCAGAGGTTTTTGGATTTTCTATTTTCATTAATTTATTTGTTTGTTTGCTTGCTTGTTTGTCTGTTTTCTATTAAGATATTTTTAAAAAGATGAATAAAGTGCATGAATCACAGTATTGGCAGTCTGTTGCAGTAGGTCCAGTTTTATGTTTTGTTTTTTTAAACAAGTGATTTTGGATGCTCTTGGTAACTTTTCATATTTGGTTATTGAAGCTAACAGAACTGTTTCTGCATTTCAGACAATGTCCCAAAAAGCAAAAGTTTTCTGAACAACGCCCAACATAGGATCTCAAACTCTGACAAATTGAAGAGACACGGTTTAGACACGAATAATAAAGTTTCATCAGCTTTAGTACTTGTTAGCAATAAAAATAATTCTCAAAATGTCCCTTTGAAGGATTGCTTTTGTGCACAAGCACATTAAGCTATACGAGTTTGTCTGTTAAGAGGATTTCAGGTGATTTACCTGCTGATGCTTCATTTGATGTCCACAGCTCAGTGTTTGAGAAGCTACAAACAGAACGACCAGGTGACCTCTGCACATTTAAATCACTCCTCTCCCTCTGTTAGTCCATAAACATTTCAACTCTTGGAACATTTTGTTCATTCATTCATCCTCAGTTTATATTACAAAATATGATTTCCCTCTGTATTCCTAAAGCATTATTCAGTTCAGTTACAAATAGATGTCATAGTCACTGTCATAATGCTTACAGGCTGGATTGTTCTGTTTTAGTACAATGTATTGTGTACTTTGTTTTGATGGAGGCCCAAACTAAACATTGTTGTCTTTTGCTGCTGAGGTCTGCAGTCCTGTCAGTTTGATACGGTTTGTGTTTCTCTTAGGAGAAGGAATTTGTGTCTGTTGCTAAAAGTAACCCACAGCAGCTGGATGTGGTTTCTGTCCAGTTAGACCTACTAATAAATGTTTGCCACTAATACATTCTGACCCCCGCTGTGACTGTGGGGGCAGGGTCACAGTTGGGGTCGACTCCCAAAAGCTGCTTCTAATTACCCAATAATAGAAACATGAAGAATAGAGCTCATGCTTGTTGGGATTTCAGAGTCAAAGTGCTTTGGGGTTTGATATTCAGATACGGCTTTTATAATTAGAAAAGACTGCTGTTTGTTATTACGATGGAAAACAGAGAATAACATTAAGATAACTTAATTTTTTTACTTGTATACAAATTACTTTTTGAATATGGTTGTGTAAATAGAAGAATTCCTTTATTTAAAAAGATTAATTTATATTTATCTTACATTAGAAATGTATGTTACAAAATATTTATTAGTTTTTGTATTTTCTTTTACCAAGGTGATAGCAAGTGAGGTTGTTAAAAAAAGCTTTCTTGTACGAAGAGACAAGTCATCACTGCTGAGTAACTGAAGCCAGGAGCACTAGTGTTCTTCTAGCTGCTTGTTAAATATGAAATAGCTACTGGGGATTACATAGATCCTGACAGTTTACAACCGGTTTGGTCATCCATACCTAAATATATAAAGAAGTGTAGCTTGTTTTGCATTGTCCCTGTAAATCCAGAATTAACGTCTCTTAAAGCAATTGACGTTTGTTCCTTTTCTACCTGTCAGCATTTCATAAGGCTGGATGTCAGGATGAAGCTGTGAAAGTCCTGGAGCAGCTTACCCACAATGCAGTGGTGGAGAACAGGTTCAATGATGCTGGGTACTATTACTGGATGCTGTCTATGCAGTGTTTGGACATTGCCAGAGGTAATACTTATCAGCAGTGCACCCCTCTCACAAAATCTTGACTTTTAGTAGCAGGTGTGGATGCTTCACATTTTCTCACCCACATTTTGATGTTGTTGGTACAGGGAATTGAACCGGCAACCGTCCGATCATGGCCCACCTAAAGATTCAACCTTTTATTTTATTTTTTTTATTTTTTTTATGAAGCCGAACTTAATTCAATTCAATTCAGTTTATTTATATAGCGCCATGTCCCAACAGAAGTCGTCTCAGGGTACTGAACAGAAACATTCACACACATAAAAAACATTTAGTAAAAGTTCTCTATCTAAGGAAGCAAAATATTGTGTTGAACCTTCACTCCATCACAGTCTCCCTTCCTGAGCAAGCACAAATGCAACAGTGGAAAGAAAAAACTCCCTTTGAACAAGAAGAAACCTCAATTTAAACCAGGCTCTGGATAAGAGGCCATCTGCTTGCAACTTAATCAATCTTTTTTTTATTGTTTGTCTGAACCAGAAAGTGAAGATAAAAGGGATGAAATGCTGAAGAAGTTTGAGCGTTTTCAACGTCTTGCGGAGCTTTACTACGTCTATCGCTCCATTCAGCGCTACACGGTGAGAATGCATTACTTTGTCAGCCTTAATCTTTCATTAATCTTCTATAACCAGAAGAGATGAAAAGGAGGAAGAGCGTTTGGGAGCCACAAAGAGGCCTTTTACCTGCCTGTTAGATTAGCTTGTGGTTGGATTTTTGTTTAAACATACAGGTACATATCTCATGACTTTCACATACACAAACACAAGGTTCTGGAAGATTATGTCAATCCACAGAATGAGTCAGGTTTAAGGAGAATTAAGATAAGCGCTCAGGGTCTCAGGCAAAATGAACAAAAGAGGGAATAGAGGGCACTAAGTTGAGGTTACAGTTCATTAAAGGAACATTTCAGCTTGAAAGAAGCACTATTGTTAGCCTCCTGAAACCCCTCTGACCTCTGTCACCATGGCAACCAGCTGCTTGACAGAACAAGATGACAACCTCATCAGTGGTCCTCTCCATCCCCCTCAGCTCTTACAAACAATAAATTCCTGCTCATGAACAGTATAAGGGTGACCTGGCCTGTGTCAGTGCTCCCAGTTTGTTGTTTCAGTGCTATGCTCTGCTCTGGTCACACCCTTACCAGACAGAAGCGTCACAGTGATCCAGACCAGAGCAGGAAACCTCTATATATCACTTTAACTTTCCCAGACAGGAGCTATAGATTTAGATTATCAACTTTGGGGGATGAAATGCTTTTAGTGACTGCTGTAGAAAATTCATCTTTTCCTTTCAGGGCACAGTGACGAGGGATAAGGCACTGCAAATAGTTACGCTGAGGTTAAAAGATTACAGAAATAGAGGGGGGAGTAGGAGGAATGGAGCTTTTAAAAATTGTTATCACATATTTAGGTTATTTTTAATCCCTTCCACCTCCATCTGTCTTTTTTAATCTTTAGGATGAGCCCTTCAGTTCCCATATGCCAGAGACGCTCTTCAACATATGCAGATTTTTACTGAACAACCTTACCAAGGACATACCACCAGGCATTTCTAAAGTGTATCCTTCACTTTTGACAAAGTGGCAGCAACTATGGAACCCCTCTTTTGAAAACGGTACGACACCACACCATTCTGACAGAGGCTGGCAGAGCCAGTGATGATAAAGGGGAGGAAAAAAGATAAAAGTAGGGAATAAACTGAACTATTGGCGCCACAGCGGAAACCATATTGCTGCTGAGAGCAAGAAAAGGAACGATGATTGGGAGGAGGCGATGCCAGCGAGAGGCACATTTTTGGGTTTTCTAAACAAGTGCTTTGATTACTGAACTCTGTGCATACATACACATTGAACAAAGAGTTTTAATTTGAACAAACAGACACAGCCAACAACACTCACAGTCACACAGACAAAATCCTGCGCATGGGATGCTGGTATGAGGAAGGAAAACCCAGCTTTGGAAAAGGAAATCGTCCCCAGCAGCTGGAGTCCTCCATGGCCAAGCTCAATTGTTCCAACAACTTTGAAGTTAGATTTATGGACTTGGCGAGGACCGTGCTGGACATTGGTTGAAAAGTTTAAACACAATGTCACAAATAACCCCCGAGCTAAATGCATTACACAATAGGAGGACGTGGACTTGTCAAGAGTTCCAGAGTGAAGGAAGAGCTGGAGAGCAGCAGAGTGGAGAGAAATGGTGTTGAGTTTTAAGTGATGGGAGAGTACCAATAGAGCTGTTGCAGCTGCGGCTCATTGACCTGCGCTTTACCACTCACAGAGCTGCTCTGTTAACACTCTGTTCCTGTATAATTACAAAAAAGTATCAGATTTGTTGAGTCAAATGCAAAGAAATTCAGACACTCGTTGTGAATGAAGCATCACAAGTGTTTTCTGGAGAATTAACTAAATACTTCCTTTTACCACAAAAGCCTTAACTTTGTGGTTAGTAACACCTTGTATGCGCTGGCCAAGCAGAGTCGAAAACTGGGCGCATATAAGCTTGCCAGGTATTCCTACGAGAAGCTGCAGGAGCTGCACTTCCCTTCACGCTTACTGGAGTCCATCGAACTGGGCAGCCTCACCATTCGCTCCAAGCCCTTCCATGACAGTGAGGTGCGTAGCAGACACTGTACTTGCTCTAAAATATTAGCAGTTACTCCAGTCCTGTGTTGTTTAGGTTAAACTTCCTATGTTTCCTGCAGGATCTTATTGAAGGCATGATGTGCTACCGTTGCTCCACCAACAACCCCTTTCTGAACAGCCAGGGGAGTGTGTGCATCAACTGCAGGCAGCCTTTTATCTACTCAGCTTCAACATACGGTCAGTATTAGCTGGAGGAAATGTCTGTTTGTTTTAATAAAAGGAGAAATAGATATGGATTTAAACATTGTTATTACCATATTTTTTACCGTATAAGTCGCACCTTTTTGCATAAATTTGCAAGTCCTGTGACTTATACACCGAAGCAACTAATATATGTTTTTTTTTTTCCATTATAACCCATTTTTTTGACTGAGATCTGACAATTTCCTTTATTCTGATATAAAAATGTTAAACATTACCATTTGCAGCCACTAGAGGACCCTCAAGCAATATGGCAAGCCAAGTGTCTCATTAATAGGTAAAAGTGGCTATTAATTAATTAGACACTTGGCTTGCCATACAAAAACCACCTTCGTCTCGCTCCGGAACTCCTGAAGCAAACGTCAAATCAGCTGCATTTCACCGCGCCGCCCAGGTGAAATGCAGCTGATTTGACCATTAAAGTGCATTTATTAAGGAAAAGTTCAACTGAGACACAACTTTACTATAATGTCGAGCAAACAAATAATTGTTTTTAAGTGTTAATCTTGTTAAATTCCTGTTAAAGTCCTCCTGTGCATGCTCCTGCGGCCGCCATTTGACAGCCAATCGATTTTTGGCACAACACCGGCCCACGTTTCCGGGTGGTCAGTGGTGGCGCGTAACAAACGCGACGCGTCAGCTGTGACACAAAATAGATACGACTTATACGGCGAAGGGACTTATCAATGCTTTTTTCCACTTTATTAAACATTTTTGGACAGATGCGTCTTATACGTTGGTGTGACTTTTATGGTGGAAAATACAGTACTGTTTGTTGTCCTTTTGTTTCCATTGCAGTTTCAGGTTCACTCCTGCAGTTTTTGAAAATCTCATATAAAAAATATATCAAATTTTGCAGCTCAACTGGAAATACTGTATTATGAATTTTGGTAGCGGTTTATTGTGTGTTTTTCATTCACATACAGGACGATGGCATTTAATGGGAAAACAAAAACATTTAGTGGGAAAAATCCAGCCCTCTTTTATTTTATAATTTTGAAGGTTAAAATCTGAAACTTGCTATCAGAGTATTTTTGCCAGCTCATTCTCACCCTTACTTCACACTTCTCATACTGTTAAAAGCATAAAAATGTAAGCAAATTTGTCTTTTTTCCTTCCTCTGTATTTCTCACTATTATGGGGCTATTCATCCATCGTCTTTAGCCACTTCTTCCTTTTCAGGACACAGGAGTCACTGGTGCTCATGTCCAGCAGTCACTGTGTGAGAGGCGGGGTACACACTGGATCGGTCTCCAGTCCATCACTGAGACACATTATAGAGACAAATGAGACAAACATTCACTCTCTCACTCACACCTAGGGACAATTTAGAGTTACCAATAAGTCTAACATACATGTTTTTGGTCTGTGGGTGGAAACTGGAGTACCTGAAGAAAACCCACGCATGCACAGAGAGAACATGCAAACTCCACCCAGAAAGGCCCCCAGCCGGGATTTGATCCAACGACCTTCTCGCTGAGAGGCAGCAGCTTTTTCTAATCCCTCCACATCTATATTCTCGACGTCCATTGTTTGGAGTTCAAATTTTTTTTTTTTTTTTAACTGGAAGTGAAGGATCTTTTTATCTTGTCATGTTTTCTACATAAAACACTGTAGAGAAAGAAACATTCACACACACGTGTGTGTGTGTGTGTGTGTGTGGGCGGGGGGGTCTTTAATTTTCTAATTGTTTTTACACAGTTACAGTTTGCCTAAGACTTAATTTCTACTCTGCATTTCTGTCTGTCTCATGAAGAGTGTTGTTGGGGAGTAAGAGATGGTTACCATGGTGACCCTAAGCCACTGGCAGCAGGGTTAACTTTTTTAAAATTATTTTTAAATTATTTTCTTCTCTTTATGCTGACCAGTATGCTCGTTCACCAACGTGTAACTTTTTTCTTCGATTAGTTCAGAGTTGAGGTTGTAATTTGGATCTGTTAATTAAATGTAGCGTGGCTTGTTTCAAACAGAGGTGCTGCCCCTGGTGCAGTTTTACCTGGAGGAGGGAATCAGCGATGAAGAAGCTCTGTCACTCATTGACCTGGAGGTTCCTCACTCAGATCAGAAGAATGCTCCGGGGCACGTCGTAGACAACGGTGGTATCCTTTGATCTTCAGCACATAAACATGTGCACACAAAGTAACAGGTTGTTCAGCTGATTTATATAAACGATCAAGTCCGCACTCTGCTGGTGCTCTTACAGACTATACATAATCGAAGCATGTGACTGTGTTCTGTCTTGTGACGGTTCTAAGTAGCTGTTTAGTCTGCACTGGCCTTGATTTTGTGCTTGTGGGTAAGCTGTCAGAAGTAAGTCATCTTAGCTATAGAGCTAATAGGTTTAGCCAGGCTCTCCTGTCTCATCTTAATGACCCTAACTCTCAAAGAGCTGTAGCCACAGCCCTGGTGCAGGGATTAACCTGCATTAACTGGCTGACACTCAAGGGCACCAAGGTGTGTTGTGTTCTTCCAGGGCTGTAATGTGACTGACAGGCACAACTGATTTTAACTGCATCGTCTCCTAGGATGGTCTCCAAGAGCTCATATTATCAGGCTATTTCCTGTTTTGCTGAAACACATAAAAATTAAATAACCAGACAATGAAACATGCAAAAATGGTTTATTCTACATTGCTGTGGTGTTTGTCCTTAATTAATATGGAACAGAGCCACAATCTTTGAAGCTAGAAGATGATTTGGATAATGCAGAGGAGGATCCATTTACAGCCAAAATGAGCTTTGAGGTAAGAGAAGAAAGGACAAAATAGATGAGGCGATTAATATTCTGCCAGCTGGGCAAACCAGCTGGAGCGGGCAACAAAACGGGGTTCGTTAGGAGGTGTGTTTGTGTTCGTCTGTGTGTCCAAACAGCAAGGGGGCTCCACCTTTGTCCCAGTCAAGGTGAGTCGCTCGGTGCTGCGCTCCATGAGCAGACGGGACGTCCTGATCAAACGCTGGCCCAGGCCACTCAAATGGGAATACTTCCGCTCCCTGCTGCCGGATGTCAGCATCACCATGTGCCCCAGCTGCTTCAAGGTAAAACATTTACATACACACAGCTGATACATGGACAGTGAGCTCACTTCACTTCCTGGTTATATGTTTGTATCTGGATGCTTTAACGTTTTTCTGTATTCCCATGTAGATGTTTCATAGTGAGGACTATGAGCTCCTGGTGCTGCAGCACAACTGCTGTCCTTACTGCCGCAGACCCATCGATGAACCAAACTAAACCACTTTACTCTAAAGAAATGTTATTAAAGCAGTTGGCTTTTTATACCTTCAAGCTAATGTTTTGTCTTTTTTACTCAGCGGCTAGTTTTCTGTTTCTGTATTTATGTAATAAACTAGTTAAAACTGTTCTATGCTGTGGGAAAATTACAGCATAAATCTGCTATTTAAGCTCTGAGGAGCAGCTCTTTGTTATCCAAGGATGAAAAGCTGAAGTAATACCTGTAGTGTTTGGATCAATCCGGTTGGATTAATGGGAACAAATTACCTTGGGCTGTGAATACTTCGTAAATTTGTGCATTGTGTTAAACATGAAAAAGAATTGTTTGGATTTTTTTTTTTAATGTAACAAATTAAAATAAATGCATATAATAAAATGTGCAGTTTCCAGGTTTGATGCTATGATTTTATTTTCTGTGTCATCTGTTAAACAGTTGTTATTATTGGGGATTTTATCCTTCTTACATAAAAAAGTGATTATTACCTTCTTGATATTTCAGTTTGAACCTTCAGTGTTTGTAGGAGAGCATGAGAGTGGCTGCTATGAGCAGGATAACCCACTGATTCTGATTACACCCAGAGCTATAAGTGGGGCGCTGCACTCTGCACTGGTTAGGGATTAAGCTTTTACAGATGCAAATAAGTTGGATTGCTCTGGAAATTTCATTTAAAGTCTGTCCACTCTGAGCGGCTGAAGTCATAAACCTCCCACTCTCTTCTCCCATCTTGTTCCAAAGCAGCACTGATGCACATGACTGTAATTAATGGGTTTATTTAGCCACAGTTATAACTTCCCACTTTGAAAACGTTTTGCTCCTTTTATACGCTGTTCGTTTTTTTTTCCCTGAGCTTTCTGCCATAAATGCTTTGTGTGCATGTGTTTGTTAATGTGCACCAGCACTCTCGGACCGCGTCTTAATTCCATCTCTGCTAACACTTCGCTTCATCCCCCCTCGTTCCTAATCCAGCCCGACTATTAAAAGGTGCTGCTCCTCCTCGGGGGGACTGCGGAGAACATCTTACTTTCACGGGATCCATCCATCCATCTGTACTTTCTTCTTATTTCCACCTCAGCTGCACCAAAAGACTCCCTTTAACCAGTTTTATTCTGACAGGCACAGACTGTTTTGTTCAGATCTGAGAGAGAAAGCCGTCAAGAACTGCAGCCATGAATGGCACTGAAGGGCCCAACTTTTATGTCCCCATGTCTAATAGGACTGGGGTGGTGCTCAGCCCATTTGAGCACCCTCAGTACTACCTGGCTGAGCCTTGGAAGTACTCTCTTCTGGCTGCATACATGCTGTTCCTCATCATCACGGCCTTCCCCGTTAACTTCCTCACCCTTCATGTCACCGTCAAGCACAAAAAGCTGAGAAACCCTCTGAACTACGTTCTGCTCAACCTGGCGGTGGCCGACCTCTTCATGATAGTCGGAGGCTTCACGGTCACCCTGTACACGGCCCTGCACGGGTTCTTCAGCTTAGGTGTCACCGGCTGCAATATTGAAGGGTTCTTTGCCACGTTAGGAGGTAAGAAACATGCTGTGCTGTGTAAATGATACATTTCAATTGTTTCCCTGACTTTGTTGTTTTGTCTGTTTGTATTTGTGAAATGTATCTGCTTTGCTTTCTGCCTCAGGAGAGATTGCCCTCTGGTCTCTGGTGGTTCTGGCCATTGAGCGCTACATTGTGGTCTGTAAGCCAATGAGCAACTTCCGCTTCGAGGAAAAACACGCCATCGCTGGCCTGGCATTCTCCTGGGTCATGGCCCTGACCTGTGCTGCCCCACCTCTCTTTGGATGGTCCCGGTACTGTACACTTTAGTGTCTGTAGTAGATTTACAAGACTTCAAGATGAAAGAAACGTCCTAATCTACGTGTGCATAAATCAGACACGTAGCATCAAATATGACATGACTGAGTTGACGGAAAGTGTTTGCAGGTACATCCCAGAGGGAATGCAGTGCTCCTGTGGGATTGACTACTACACTCCCAAGCCTGAGATCAACAACACCTCATTCGTCATCTATATGTTTGTCCTTCACTTCTGCATCCCCCTCTTCATCATTTTCTTCTGCTACAGCCGCCTACTCTGCACCGTGCGAGCGGTAAGAACTCCAATGTCAATGCAATATCTTTTAAAAAAGGAAACATACCAGGATGTAATATATTGTTTAAAGCTGTAGAGAAATCCTTCTTTTTCCTCTGAAGGGTAGAGCATCATGGAGTCTCTAGGGATGTGAAGGGTTTAGTAGCTCAAGGACACTTCAGGAGGGCAGATCGTTGCCAACATGGCAGCTGATACCAAGATCCTCAAGCTAAAGGGCAGCAAGCTCGCTCGCTGTGCCATCCTTATGCCCTTGATAATAAGAGTAAACAACATTAATGATGTATTAGCAAAAATAAGCAGTCAAAATGTGGCTATAATCAACTTAGGGTTCAAACTTTCTTAAAGGTAACTCGGACTTATTTGATTTTCAGTACATAACCGGCTGCTCGAAGCTTTAATAACACTTCTAGAAACTGCACGTTAGTAGTCGACCCAGCAGTCTTTAAAGTTCAGGTCCACTCTGGATGCCTTCCTGTTAGCAAAAACAAACAAAAAGAAAAGAAAATTGTGCCCACCAGTTTAAAATAAAACTGCAAATATATGCAGAGGATGATAAACACAAGGAGACATTTAGCAGCTCAAGACCCAGACATTTCACTCAGCGTTTGTCAGAAAACATGGCTTCCATCTGTCTATATGAAGAGACATCAGTGAACGAGGCCCAGTTAAAGAAACCTCATCAGTCTGATCTAACTAATGATAAACATGATGGGGGACATTTGCTGATATCTTCCATCCAATTATCACCGATGCCATGGAATGAGGGTGTAATGTTGTGTCTGTGTGTGGTTGTCTGTCTTTTACTAACTTTGTAATAAACCAGTAGATACATTTAATCAAAACTCTCTTAAAGTAATTACTGGATTTACATCTGCAGCTGATGAACTTCAGCAATAGAAAATCTTAAAATGTCTTTAACTTGGACAGTTTTTTAGCTGTTGAGCTAACTTGCGCTATTTAAAATATTTAAAATAAACAATTATGATCCTATTCTAGACACAAGTCTTAAAGTTAACCACAACCAGGATTTAACCAGTTGTGTCCAGGAATAACCAATGAGCTGCAAAATCTGCAGTAAAGCTTGTATTTTTAGTCTTGTGCGTCTGTGGAAAATGTGGAAAATGTCTTGATGAAACGGCCATAAGAACCAAACATGGACCATCAAAGTACTTCTAGTTGTAGTTTTATTGTTTAACAGCAGCTCAAGTGACCTCACTGGTCAACCCCACTAGTTTAGATTTGGACCACTGTGTGTTCAGGCTGCAGCTCTACAGCAGGAGTCTGAAACCACCCAAAGGGCAGAGAAAGAAGTGACGCGCATGGTCGTTGTCATGGTGATCTCCTTCCTGGTGTGCTGGGTGCCCTACGCCTCCGTGGCTTGGTACATCTTTGCCAATCAGGGAACGGAGTTTGGACCAGTGTTCATGACGGCGCCGGCCTTCTTCGCCAAGAGTGCCGCTCTGTACAACCCAGTCATCTACATTCTGCTGAACAGACAGGTGCGTTGAGGAATAAAATGCCTTTTTTTCTGTAAGACAGAGTTTTAACGATGATTTTATGTAATAGAACAAGGGAGCTTTTAATCTTTTTTAGTTACACTGAAGTATTTTCTTTTATTTATTTTTTCTGTTTACTAGCAAGAATTATGAGTTGTACTTTTATTTAAATGACAGAGAGTGATACTCATGGTAACATTTTACTAGAGAAACATGAAGCTTGAATTATATTTATAATGAAACATTTTCTCTTTCTTCACCACATGACTCCTTTCAGATTTGATCTTATGAGCTGAAGTGAAATTAACTTACATCCTTTATTAATGAGCTGTTGCAAAAGCTAAAAGAAGCTCCAGTTAAGGAACTTTGTGCTATTTTCTGTATCCATTGTTGTTTTTGTCATCCAACAAAGGTGAATCGACTCAGTTTGTGTGCTCTTGATACTTTTGCTTTTATAGGATAAAGTGTGTTTTTAGGTTAATGTATCAGCAGGATACCTCTCCAATTCCTGTGCTCCCTCCTCGACTGAGTGAAAGTATGATAACTGACTGATTCTGTGCATTTCTCTCCTTTGTTGTCTCCAGTTTAGGAACTGCATGATCACCACAGTGTGCTGTGGAAAGAACCCATTTGGAGACGATGAGACCGCCGCCACTGTGTCCAAAACCCAGACTTCATCCGTCTCCTCCAGCCAGGTGGCCCCTGCTTGACCCCATCGCGTCTCCTCTATCCTCTCCATCTGTTCCCACTCAACCAGGGACCCACCACCACCGAGCAGCAATATGTTTGGTGGGCCAATCCTCTCGACTCACCTCTCCAATTGTCCTCGCCGCAGTTGGCACCGCTGCAACTTCAGCGGGACAGACTCCATCAAGAGCCAGCATGTGCACTTTCAGCCCGTTTAATCATGGAAAGTGTTCAGCTGGTCGCACAGATTTTTAACCTGGCATCAAAAGGTTCCCAACTTAGTGACTATTCAGCTGAACGTTATCCAAACTTCACAAGGCTCGTGCTATAGATAAAAATCAAATAAATAAGCTCATTGTCTGATTTTATCATCTCTTGTTTAAGTAATTGTTTCAACTACATGTAACTCAAACCAGGCGCTTATATTTATTTATTTATTTTTCGTTGATTTTCTTAGATTCTCAGTCGACTTTTCAGTGCATCTGATTATTTTCTCCTCTGGTTTTCAAGGCGGCATTGCTTCTTTGTTTGTCTTAAACAGGAACTGAAGCGAGCTTCAAAGAAGAAGCCTCAGACTGGATGATAGTGCCTGATGATATGACTGTGTGATAACTGTGAGCATTAATGAACGTGGCATTTTATTTGTTGTGTAAATCTAGGATTTGTGGAAACAGTTTGTGACCTGCATTAATAATAAAAATAAAAACAAAACAGATAGCTGAATGTCCGCACAGCTTTTTACTTTTTCTTTCTTTATCTTGAAAATTTTACTGAGAAGTTCCTGATGATGAAATATGAGTCTTAACTGGAATTAGTAGGAGAGATATGATCTCTCCAGTTTTAGTTTATCTCCATTGGCTCCCTGTCAAATCCAGAATATAATTCAAAATCTTACTTCTAACCTACAAAGCTCTCAACAACCTAGCTCCATCTTATATTACAGATCTTATTGTTCCATATTTTCCTAACAGAGCACTTTGCTCTCAGACTGCAGGCTTACTTGTGGTTCCTAGAGTTTCCAAAAGCAGAATGGGAGGAAGATCTTCCAGTTACCAGGCTCCTCTCTTGTGGAACCAACTTCCAGTTTCTGTCCATGAGGCTGACACATTGTCCAGTTTTAAGACTTTACTTTTTGATAAATCCTATAGTTAGGGTTGGCTTGTTATGCTGCTATAGGCTTAGACTACTGGAGGACAAATTGACCGCATTTCCTTAAATGAATTGTTTAAGTTGAATAGTTTTCATTTGATACTATTTCTATCTTAACATGTGATTCTTAACCTGACATTGTGTATCTGTTACTCCTTCCTGTTCTTCTCCAACCCAGCTGGTTGAAGCAGATGGCTGCTTGTCCTGAGCTGGTTCTGCTAAAGGTTTCTTCCTCACGAGAGAGTTTTTCCTTTCCACTGTTTCCTTCATGTTTGCTCAAGATGAGAGTTCTGTGATGGAGTTAAACTCAAAGCAGTCTGCTCTTCAGATAAATAATGTTAGATTATTATTTTATATGAATGTTTCTGTTCAGTGTCCTGAGATGACTTCTGATGGGACTTGGCGCTATATAAATAAACTGAATTGATGTATTTATGAGCAGTGGAAGACCAGATCTTAATGGTTGTTATATGTTATTAAAATGCTGTGGTGCATTTGGAAAGGCACTCGTATAGTAAATTACCATTTTTAGACACTTTAAAATCTTTATTCTCCTGCAATTTATTTCACAAACAAATCATTTGGCATCATAATTACAGTCTCTCCTTAGATTATATAGAGCTCAGCATTTACTTCAATGTAAATTCCCTCTTTAAATCGATCAGAAACCAACGTGACACTCATCCGTTCACAAGCACACCGATTAAACACTTGTATACTGATGCAGCTCTTCCCAGTGAACTACATTAAAACATTTCATTTAATAGTTTTCAGTCTTTTTTATAATAGTCTTCTCTCTTCTCATCAACCCATCATCAACCTGCAAAGCACGCTGGGACAAACTGTTTAAAGCACCAATGGGGAGTCCGTCACCCATCTTCACCAAGCAGACCTGAGAACGTTGCAGGCTTTAGGAGATCAGAGGAATCTGTCGTGGTCCTACTAATCCTGAAGAACAGGTCACTTGAAAGCATTAGAACACATCTATAAATATTGCTATGGACATTATATTACAGTGCAGTGCATCATTGGCTCGTTCCCTTACAAAAAAGGGGCGCTTCAGTGTGTAAAGATTGCCGTCAGGGCTTGCTGTAGGTCCCAAGAACTGTGCAGACATCCAGGAAGAGCTCTGAAGTCCTACGTGTTCCTTCTAAAGTGTAGCTGTTCGTTTCGTGGGAAAAGATTTGGGAGACACATGTTTGACGCTTAAGGTTTGAATCCTTTACTCTGCTGCTAAAGTAACAGTCTGTGGGAAAGACACGCCCGAACGCTTCCTCCTTAGTTGCACTCCCAAGTAACCGTGCAGGCGGGAGGAAGGCAGCGGGATGAGATGGCGAGCAGAAGAGACTGGCAGGTTCAGGCTTCGCTGCAGCACTCGTAGATGTTGTCCTCCATGAGCGCAACGACCTGATCAAACTTGTGGTGCAGCTGGGTGCGACGTGCAGTTGGGTTGGCCTCCAGAGCGTTCACCACCTGACCACAGAGGGCAAACAGAACAAAGGTGACTTTCAGCGGCTGTCGAGCATTCATGCATCCATCTATCCACACAGAGAAGGGAAGGAAACGAGCCACCTGCCTGGACAGAGAGCGCTGAACGACAGAAAGGGAAAAGAAGTGGAATACTTCAGCCTCTTCTGCATGCCTCAGCAACACAAAAGATTTTTTTTATTTTTTGCTCTTCACATATTTACAAAACCCACATCTGCTCTGTTTCTCATGCCTAATAGTTGTCACCATGTCAGTGGGATTTATGGGCTCTTAGCAGCAGTGTGCTACGAGGCAGAGCAGAACTGAGCCGAGGCGAGAGAATAGGCAATCAGGGGCCATTCACACAGCTCTGTGAATCACAGGCTAAGCCCCTGGCCCACGTCAGTACAGTATCATGACAGGGGAAAGCAGCTAGACGGCATTACTGTGAGGGTGCTCCATTAGGACACCACTGACTGAACTTCACTGGGAAATAGGCATAGCTGCAAGGAAGCATGAAGGACAGCAGGAGCTTGAAGAGGCACAGGCCAAAGCACAAAAAAAAAAACTGAAATATGAAGCAACATTTTAACAGAGTCATTAGATGTGGGTGTTGGCTCTTGAAGGTAAACATCACGCTGTTTGCTTAAAGTGAAAAGTATCTGTGGGCTGGAAAGAGATAACTCATCGCTGATGAGTCGCCGTGACTTGGATGATAGCCCACACCTGATTGTTTCCCTGTAAAGAGCATGTAACAAGTGAAACACAGAGCTTGTGTGCATGTATTTAACTGATCTGCCACACTCTGCTAACCTTCTGCGAAATGTTACAGACTGAAAAATAACACGAGGACAAGTCTGAACATTCAAGCACATCTAATCCACGTCTGAGATCACAAACAACGTGGAGCGGCGTTTAAAGTCCCTCACCTGGTTTCTGTATTTCTTGGCATATTTGTAGATTTCTGTCAAGGCCAGGTTGGTGTTGAACTCGTTTCTGTACTTCTGCGAAGGAGACATCAAACGGTTAGATTAGATCAAGTTACTTGTTGATTTAAGAAGCAGAAACCTTCTGACTCACTCTCGACTCCTCGGCCAGGTGAGCGTTCATCTCCTGCTCGCTGAGAGGGGCCATCTCTTGGATCTGCTTGTAGTAGCACTGGACTCTCTTCTTGTACTCTGGGATCTCCTTGGCATACAGCAGCTTGTTAGTCGGAGAGTCCTGGAAAAAAGGCAAGACATTTTAGTCATGTAACGATTTAGTTACACCCACAGTATTTGGCAGCACCTTCTAACTGAGTAAGATGCAGCTTTGTGCATTACTAAACTAAGGAAAAATTCAAGTAGCAGCACTTTGAGATACAGTAGTTGTACTGGAGTTTTCTGCTACTTTAACCTTCTCCTTTCCATTTGCTTACTGTGCAGCTGCAGTTACTGCTCACAAATAAAATAAAAACAGGCCAGAAGTGGTAACATATACAACCACCGTTAACAAAACCGTCTGTGATCAGTGGTCTACTGGAGCGTGTTCAGTTGATTCAGGACTAGATATGTGATTATTTTCAAGCCATACAACGTATAAATTGTAAAACAAAGGAAAGAATATTCATCAAACCTTTCAATTATTTCTCCAGGTCCACAATCAAAAAAACAACAGAGGCACATTTTGGAAAAATGTTTTGATATGTAAACAGTAAAGGGTTGTGATTTTTTTTTTTGTTTGTTTGCTCTGTGTAAAACATCAATAGAAAAAGTCAAAGTTTCTTTATTGTCATTCTCATCACATGTGGTACATATGGTGGGACGAAATTGTGTACACAGGGTCCCACTTACATCCAACAAAAGTATAAATTGAAAAGAAAAACAGTAATAAGACCTAAGCTATGAACTAAGAATATTCTAAGCACTAGCAGTGCAAAACAATATGCCGAGCAACAGCAGCACGAACACGAGTCTGTGTGAGCAGATGAGTACGAATGAACACAGCAGCATGAAATAAATCAGCAGCATGAGATCAGCAGCACATAACAACTGAGTGGTATTACAGTGATTTTATTTCACAGTGATTATCCTGAATAGAGATTCATGAGTCTTAACAGCCTCAGGGTAGAAGCTGCTCCTGAGTCTAGTGGTTGTACACTTAATGCTCCTCAACCTCCTTCCTGAGGGGAGCGGGGCAAAAAGTGTGTGTGCTGGGTGAGTGGGGTCCTTCATGATGCAGGTGGCTCTCTTCCTGCATCTGGAGGAGTAGATGTCTGATGGTGGGGAGACTGACTCCAAGTAACTTAGTGAATAAAAGTTGAAAATACATTTAACTTTTCCACACAGTTAAATTATTTGTTTGAGAATTAAGTCTTCTTTGAGATAAACTCAACTTTTTAACCACTTAACTGAATTGGCTGAAATCGTTTAAAATTTGTTAAATGTCGTTAAATGGTAGAGCTGACGCCTCTCAGTGAGCAGGACGTCTCGTTCAAATCCCGGTGGGGGAAACAAGGATAATTTTTGCTACGATGAAACGTATTTCTCATACTGCTGCTGTGAACTCAAACAAATCTCTATTTAAAAGTCAAATAAAGGATTAAGGATTAGTTTGGACCATCTATAAAAATATAAGAGTGACTCAGCTCCTGTAAAAGAAATTTTAATCATCCCTAAAAACTTATGATGATAAGGTTTTAGGACAGTTAACTTATTTTTCAAGCTCTGATAATAAATTACCAAAGATTTGATTCATAAAAAAAAAACATGTATTTTGTGGCTTCTCTCCTCCCCAGGTTTTGAAGCCTGTTCAACAAAATCATCATATTTGGGGCTCCTAGATGAAACCGCCCATATCTGTTGAAACTCTCCATCAAAACAACAAAACGTAACCAAGAACAACTTTGTGTTGGTTTGGAAGGTTTTTCTTCAGGTCGATAAGTGGACTCAAATCATTAAACCCCTCCATGGCAGGGGTCAAGGCTCAGGGTTTGTTCTTATTTGTCACCTGAAGATGTTATCTACAAAACCCATGATCAACCTCTAAAGCTTGATGGCCTCTAAAGATTAAACTGACACGCTGAAGAAAAGATTTAATGGTGAGTTCACCTCGACCCGACGGAACATTCAAATACAGCTTTTGTGTTCAAACATTAGAAATAAGAGTTTGGGTATTTTCTCACCTTTTTTAAAGGCTTCTATTCTTAAAACGTTATTATTTATGAAAGAAGTCTTTTATTTCCTGCTGTGTTTTCCATCTTTTCAGTTAGCATCTGCTGTGAACATCTATTCCCACATTCACCGTGACCATACTTGACCACTGATCTTTCCCTCTGCGTTCCTCAAACCCATCATTTCTGGTTGCTGTGCTTTAAATGTTATTCCAGGCCAGTTTTCTCGTCTACGTCACAACCGACTTCCACGCAATCAATTCCAGGGTGCTCAGAGAGACACGACAGACGATTTCCATCAGCCTCCTGCAGACCTCATTCGACCATCATCAGCGGTATCAGATTTTTATACTTCAGATAAGATCCTTTACCATGATAAGTCCGAGCCTCATAAACTCTCTTCACTTCCTCCCACCAAAGACAAACAATGATGGAAACAACAAATCATGATTTTCTCGTTCTTACTAGTTTCTGTTCACTTTAACTGGATGTTAACTCTCAATCTAAAGTGAAACAATGGAGGCCGGGAACAGTTTCCTCACAACAGCAGGAGTCACGAACAGCCAGCGCCAGGGAGCGTTCCAGTCTAAACAAATCTCCCCACACTGCTGCTTATCCAAGCAGGAAGAAAAGTAGCGGGGCTAAAAGGTTGTGGGCATTTTTTACTCTTAGTGGCTACTACTGATGTGAGCTTTGTGGTGTGAGAGACTGACAGAGAAGGAAAGTAGGACGGGGGGTGCGTGAAAGCAACTGGCAGGCGCAGCTTTCAGCAGTGGTGAAGGCGCTTACTACGCACCTTAATATTCCTGCGTGTCACAAGTTATTTGTGTCACCTATTGTGCGAATTAAACGTGCCGCAGAACCGAGAAGTGGAAGTTGCTCCTTCAGGTTAGGAATCCTCGATCTTTCTGTCCACAGGGTCACTTCCTGCTGCTCACCCATCCGCCTGGTAACCCCCCTGTGACCCCACGGTCCTCAACGCTCTGCATCTCACAAGATACAACAGATTTGTTGGAAATGGTACTGCCCGCTCACCCCTGCAGCTGATCCAGAGCCTGTGACCATCGCACTGAGGTGGGACACGCCTCTCCCCCACCCTGAACCTGCTGCCTCAACCAGAGGAGCTTCCACCATGAGGACACTCAACACCGAAGGTTTTATGTTTGTCTTTGCACATGTGTTCTCCCGTTTGCTGCTGTGAGCGCGCCACCTTCTTGGCACTGAAGTGAAGTCTATAAATCAGAGCGTTTCTCTGTGAAGGCGAGCGTTACGGGAGGAGTCCTCGCAGCTCCCTCCAGGGAGGAAGCCAGGCTGAGAGAGACAGGAAGCAGACCGTGCTGAGGGTCGCCGTGTCTGAAGGATGAGACAGATTTGTGAGCAGCGGGGACATTGACATGCAAACGTGCACAAAGAAACGGGCAGAGAGATAGGGGAAAATAAACGTGCACGCGCGCGGAACGGCGTCCCTGCCGCTCATGACCTTGGATCAACCGACTGGGCCGAATAACACGAGGAGAGGTGGATGGAGCTGACAGCCTGAGGGCTCAGGGATGAGGGGCTCACGAGTTGTGTGTGTGTGTGTGGGGGGGGGGGGGGGGGGAGGTGTTAAAAACCTAAAAGATACAACAGTGATACACACATCTGATTGATGGATGGAAAACAATAAATTAGACATTTTGAACTTGGTCTGACAATATCTATCATCATCATCATGCAGTCCCTCACAGGGTAACACTGGAAAATGTATCAAGGTTTCATTTTCATCGCCCTCTTCTGTGTCTGCGTGTGTGTACAAGCGTGTGTTATTTTGTTTGTTAGCACAATATCTAATGAACTAGTGGGCAAATTTTAAGGACTCTCATGAAGTAATCGTTGTACATTAGTCCCTCATTTATCACGGGGGATCTGTACCCTGAAGACCTACGATAAGTGAAAAAATGCCAAGTAGGAATAGTAGTACAAGTAGTAAGCAGTAGTTTATAGAT